TTTCACCAGTAATGAAGAGTGTGATGAAGAATCTATGGTTCAAATTCTAGATATCAATGATTCAAGCGCACACACACACACACACACAACCCACATATTGATCAAATACAATTCCAAGAACCATGTGTGTCTGTTTTAATTTTTGTTGTTAATTCTAATACTAATGAATCCATTCTAGATCATATAAAGTCGTCCTCCCATACACAGTCGGACAGATACATGATGAACCTAAAGAGAGAAATACATACGACTGCAGAAATTTGAATTCTCATTTAAGTTGTAAAGGCCTTGGTATTTGTACGAACCAATCATTCCTTTGTACTTGATTGCTCGCTAATTACAAATTACAAATCTAATACGTTCATTTGTGTTCATTTAGATCTACCTGCGTCAAATTACACCATTTCGGAAATCCCTAGTTATCACATCAGCTCGTATACTTTGAATCATCATAATTAGGTAAGTAGTATAGTGGATTATCTTCGAGATAATTCTTAAGGCTTTGTATATCAACCGCAATGAAATACGTTATTAAATAAATCCATGTGGTGTATGAATTTTAGAAGGCGAAACGAAACTCCAAATACATCTTATTATTGAATAGCATAGATCATCAAGTCATAAGCACATCACATACGGCCTAGCGACCGAATACAAAGGCTAATTTAGATTTGAATACAGAATCTATTGAACAATTGAATGAATGAATAACATTCAAGTAGAAATATATACAAGTAGTTTGAACAATTAACATTTAAGCTAAAAAATAAAGAAAGATTTCTGTACAAGTGTGTCACATATGATCATGCACATATATCCATAGTAACACGATAATATTAATATTAAGATCTATAAATGATTACGATTTTGTTCTATAAGTTACACGAAAAGGGGTTTAAAACATTAAACATGAACAAACTTAATTGTAGCAAATGTAATTTAGATGGATATAAAGTAGAACAAATAACCAGCAATCATTAGGGCTTCTTATTCTCACTCTATAACTCAGAAGAAGCACAGAATACAATGGACACCTCAAAACAAAAACTGCAGGTATTTCTTTCATTTTACTTGAATATGACGTATTTTAGATATTTATTATTTACTGAATGGAATTTTCTTTGTTGTCGACTTCACTTTCCCTGGTGTCATCAATTGTTCAGATGTTTATCTACTTCATTTTGCATACTTGTATATGACCGGGAGTGTATTGCTAATTACTACATAACTATTTTTATGTAAACTAAGTACAATGTAAACGAGTATAGATATTGAAAGGACAAATGGTCGGACACTAATGCAAAATGAATGAAATCATAAATGTAAACTATTAGATGTTAACTCAGGTGTTTTAATAGTTACCACTTCTTTTGAGACCTGAAGTTTCTAGGTTCGATCCCTGGTGCGGTCGTGAATACGGAGCCCAATAATAGGAAACAACAGTTGTCCATTACTCACCACCCTTATAAAATAAACGTTTAGACTACTAATTGGTAGTGAGTTTAATTATATGAGTAAACCATATTCTACTCAATTCAATTTGATCTGGCTTTAATATATTTCAGCGCCAAAGAATTTGGCATGCTCCTAGACATTTAGTCACTACAGTTTGGTCATGATTCCCGAAAAGAAAAGATTTAACTTGTCTAAACAATATTTGTACTAAACACAATGATGAATCTTGAAACTGTAATTTCTTTAAATGTAAACCACAAACGTTTTAGAACATAATTCACTATGTATTGCTGTACTTGAATCTTCGCATTGATGTTTACGACTGAAATTGATCAGTCTCTTAATGGCATATGTGCATACTGTGAGTGCTGCCTTGATATTGTGAATTAAACTTTACTCCACTGCACAAGCAAGTGGCTATCAGGACTCAGTAGCTGAATAGATAACGCGATAGCGTTTAATGCGAATGTTACTGGGTTCGAGTCCCAGAGTGGACATCAACTCTGAGATGCAGTTACATCCAGCTGACCAGTGCCAAATGGGCAAAAGACGCGTCCTGGTTTCCACTGCTGGCCGCTATCCATCTTTGCTTTTGGAACATAGTTCGTCTTGCCAATTCATGATAGATTTGTCTAGTGATTCATGTACAGAATCCCAAGTACAAGACAACACAGTTATTTAATACGAATAATGTACTTTCATAAACCAGATAATGTCTGATATTCATCGTCATCATAGTTAACGTCATCATGGTTAACGTTCAATATTAATATTTTTAATCTTATTCTATTCACTGAATTCATATTTACTCAACTATGGACTCATCAACAAATGTGCTTTAATAGCAGCTAAGTTAGATAATAGTCAATATTCTTGATTGAGATCATGAACTGCTTCGAATCCAGGGCCTTCTGTCTCGCGCGCGAACGCTTAACCTACTCGACCACTGAGCCGGCATCCAACGCGAGCGGGATCGTGGATGCGCACTGCTGAGGAGTCCCACAATAGAAGGAAACATCCGTCTAATGCTTCCAGGTTTTCAATTGTTGTCTAACATCAATTGGTTGATGATCTCAATCAAAAACTTGACAATCTCCACAACACCTAAATTGATAATAGTCAATATTCTTTTGAATATAAACATTAATCATTGAATATGATTTAATTTCTAATAACTCCGCCTGTAGCTCTTCCAGAGTTACTGCCGGTCCCAAGCCCGGGTAAAGGAGGAGGGTTGGGCAATATCAAAGTCAGAATCTTCAATACGAACGTCAAGGCAGTTCTACTGCATGGAGCTGAAACTTGGAGAACTACAACAACCACCATCAAGAAGGTACAGGTTTTTATGAATAGCTGTCTACGCATGATACTCAACATCCATTGGCCGGATACCATCAGCAACAGCCTTTTGTGGAAGAGAACAAACCAACTTCCAACTGAAAAGGAAATTAGGAAAAGACGATGGAAATGGATAGGACATACATTGAGGAAATCATCAAACTGCATTACGAGACAAGCGCTAACTTGGAATCCTGAAGGGAAGCGGAAAAGAGGAAGGCCAAAGAACACATTACGTCGGGAAATAGAAGCAGATATGAAAAGGATGAATGAATTAGATTTATCAATGTTAATCTACATAGACATTTTATGTATAAATTAGATGTGTAGGGATATTTGTTTGAATTTGTGAATAGTTTCAATATACATTAATTTGAAATGATAACTGAAGAGAAACTGAAAATCATGGGAATGAATATCAGTCAGTAGTAGTTGTGATGTAAACATATCAAATCAGTCAATTATAGACATTTATCTTTATTCAATAATTTACATGAAGTTAAATGAACTAATAATGAAAGTAGGTGAATAATAACAATAATCAACAATGAGAGAATTCAATGTAGACGAATTAAGAAGAATATAAAAAGACAGAAATATTTATTTTCTACACTATATATATATATCCTTTTTTAAAAAATGTTAGTGAATTGAATGAAAGATCCAGTAGATGTCCCATATTCTAGATCAACAGGCTAAATTCCGTAAGGATCGATCACTCACAGACCAAATTGCGACATTACGGATCATCGTTGAACAGTCAATTGGATGAAACTCGTCACTATACATCAACTTTGTTGACTGTGAGAAAGAGTTTGATATTGTGGAAGGCAGAACCTTATGGAACCATCGCCGACACTATGGTATACCTGGAAAAATTTTTAACTTCATACGACGGATGACATTCGTGCATGGACGGCAGCTGACAGATGCTGTCCAAGTGATGATAGAAGTCAGACAAGGCTGTCTAGTCTCAACCCTTTTCTTTCTTCTAGTGGTCAAATGGATTATGAAGACAACAGCATCTCAGATGAAGCAGGGAATACCATGAACAGTTAGGATGCAACTAGACGATTCGGACTACGTAGATAACCTAGCTCTTATACCTTACACAGAGCACCAATTGCAGGTGAAGAAAGCCAGTCTAGCAACAATAGGTCACAACAAACACAACCTAATCACACTTGGAGAAGCTATGGAAGAGATGAAAACTTCCACGTACCTGAGCAGCATCACCGATGAATAATGAGGATCGGATGCAGATTTGAAGGCATAGACAAGAAAAGCATGTGCAGCATTCCCAGAGCTGAAGAACATTACATACTTACTTACATCTGCTACTCGAAATGAAGGATAGACTGCCGACAAGCATTCTCCAACCAACTCTTTTTTGGGTCTTCCTTTCTAGTTTTATCCAATTTTTGTTCATTCTTTTCATGTCTGTCTCCATTTCTTGGAGTAATGTGTTCTTTGGTCTTCCTCTTCTCCTTTGTCCTTGAGGAACAGTTTGTGTCGAGGATTGAAAACAAATATCTAAAGAATGAATAGCACTTCCCAAGAACCGGGAATAGAAGCCCAGGAAAGAGTTGATTGTACAATTCTGGTCGATGGCCCATGCTCCACAAAGCATACCAGGCGTGTGTGTAAGTATATTTCCTGACTAGTGACACACACATGATTATCATATGCCATGTGCAATACTACCGTGAAATCTTCTTGATCAACTGAAAATAGGTGAGCATTTATTACCACAACAATAAGTGTTATGTCAATATATTTTGATTTTGTTAATTTCCCCTTGTCAAATTCTATAAAATCTTTTTGATTGAGATCATGAACCGATTGATGTTAGACCACCACCGAAAACCTAGAAGCACTGGACGGCCGCTTCGTCCTATTGTAGGACTCCTTAGCAGTGCGCAGCCACGATCCCGCCCGCGGGATTCTAACTCAGGGCCTTCAGTCTCGCGTGCGAACCTACTCAACGACTGAGCCGGCATACAACGGTGTTAATGTCTAACCTCAACCAATCCACCAAGTTGCGTGACCATCTTCCATTGTACTGAGGTAGACACCTGTTTCTACCCGGCACGGACTAGCTATTAAATCTCATGTCAAGATTTGACTAAATGGTAACAGATATAAGTTTTGAATTCAAGAGTTCCATATATATTTTAAACTATTTTCAATTGGATAAAAACTACAAATTGAGTCTAAATATATTTTACTGTTATAGAAATTATATCTTACTATTCAATGAATGATTGTTTAAATAATCTAAAAGAATGTTATATAAAAGTGTATATTATATAAACAAAACAAACAAACATTCCACACATGACAATTCATAATACCATAGACACAAGATTCAATGAATTGAAAACAGTCATTTTATTTTGTTGTCTTGCCACCATGTTTATTAAACCATTCATCACTTTTATCTGAAGCTATAGCTGATTGTAGTAAATGATCTGCTTGGGAATCTACTTGTGACAATTGTCTAAAAGCTTCATCTCCAACAAAACAGATTTCATGACCATCCTAAAAAAGAGATAATTAAGTAAACAGAATGATAAGATCCACACAAAATATAGTATAAAGTCAAATTGCAATGAAATTCTAGTATAATGGATGGTTTCTCTCATGTATATTATGATAATACGTTATTACGACATTAATAAAACTAATCACGTTATATGAGAACCATGATTCACGAGCCGAAATAGAGAACCAAATTAACACTAGATAACACTTTATCCATTACAATTACAAATAGTCACACTCAGTGAGTTTGGAGTAGAAATCAATGACAAGAAGGTAGATTACATATTTAATAGTTGGTAGGCTGTGGCTGCTTGTTCACGCTCTGGCTTAAGCTGAAGAGTCCTACGATATCACGAAACGGCCGTACAGTACATCCAGGTTTTTCATGGTGGTCTAGATTCAACTGGTTTATGATCTTAACCATTGGAATTACTATAATATCCACAAAACCCTTCTGATATTAATCAACATATGTTCACTAGTGACTGGCTTAAAGAGGTATATCCTGGAGTTCTAGTGAGAAGTATTGGCCAGTGGACTTCAACCAGGTATGTTGTGAGATTGTAACTCATTGATGACAATGGTGGATGTGTCGCTCAATTTTGTGGATTAGTTAAAGGTAGACATTAACACCGTTGAATACCGGCTCAGTGGTCTAGAGGTTGAGTGTTCGCGCGCGAGACTGATAGGTCCTGGGTTCAAACCTCGTGGGGGGGCGAGATCGTGGATGCGCACTTCTGAGTCTCACAATAGGACGGAACAGCTCTACAGTGCTTTCAGGTTTTTCATGGTGGTCTAGCTTCAACTGACTCATGATCTTAACCATTGAAATTACTACAATCTCCACAAAACCCCTTCTGATATAAATTAGATAGATTGTGATTATAGCTAACATTACAATTACATATGCCCAAGTTGTCAAACAACTAAATAACAGAGTAATATTTCGAAAAAAATTGCACAATGAACAGTCGAATCAAACATAGTGAATAAATATAAAAAAACATTAAATGAGTTATAACTCGTGTATTTATTCTACTGCAAGTTTCCGCTTTTTTATGCATAGACTGCCACTACTTTTGTTATGATACCATTGTAAGATAAACAGTGGCTAAACACAGGCTAGAAGCATTCCGTCTATTTCATTCAAGCTGAATCCATTAAGTCATACATTTGTTAGTATTTTTTTACTTCAAGTACGGGTTTATGTACTTGACTTTGATCAAACATATAAGTGTGAAGGCTAATAATATTGACCGTTTGACTAAACTGAAGAAGATCGAGCATAGTTCGGACCTGAGACTATGTGGCTTAAAGTCGAATGATCTGATTATTTAATCACTGATCTATGTAGTCAACAACTGATATACTTCCTTTATCTATGACGTTCTTGTAAAACATAAGTGTTTCTCACTCGAAATCAGGCAATTATCCACCATACATAATGTATATATAAGCCATTTTAATTGACCCAGGTTGGCATTTGCAGTAAGCGACCTAAATTTACAACTGGAATAACCTGTGGAGTTACTATCAAACTTGGTGAACTAGTAGTTCTTAAATATCCCCAAATTATGTTGCAACTTGTTTTTCTCCAACATTTTATGTATTGTTGCTACTGAACTGTAAAGATAGTTCCTGTTTATTTGTATTTTAGTAAACCCAACACATTAGAATTACAAATTTACAGATTTCGAGTTTCCTTATCTTCTATCCATTGGTTCAATAGATTGCATTTGAGTTTATTTAGAAAGTCGAGCTGATATACTCTCTCACCTTCTTATTAAACATACCACTTTGTGTAAATCAAAAGCCTAAAATCACAGTCTACATACTTGGCTTCGTCACAGCTTTATCATGTATGATTTACATCTTGTTGAATTGTCCTCTAAAGACCTACTATAATGTACTGACAGGTATAAAGAAGATATATTATTCCAATGAACAATTAGGAAATTATGGAAATTGTTCAACAGATTCAATTGTACAAAAGTGATACAAATCAATAAAAAAAATAAACCTACTGGATCAGCTAAAATAATCACTTGGACAGTAGCTTTTCCTGGTGTATCCAAGCTGACTAAACGAGTAAGAATTGTTTCATTTTGTGAATCCATTGTTTGTTGTAAGACTGGTAACTATTAATAAATTATTAATTATGTTTAAAATACATTTTACTTGACTACTTGGGCATGCAAAAGCTATACGGCCAAATGCGCTGGCATGATCAATCGGCTTTTGAATGGAAATCAGTTTTAAACTACACTGATTTGGTGAATAACAAAACACCGCTTCATCTGAGCTAGATGAAACAAGTGTCATACCAAGTTTATGGGACCAATAATCTGTATCATAATAGAAGAAACTTTTTAGGAAGGAGAATAGAAATACAGCATACCAGTGGATCGTTTGAGATTTGATGTAGATAAAGCCACCATTTGAACTGGATCCCCGTCACTATCACAGTTATGCACCCAAAATGCATATCCACCAGGAGCTTCCACTTTTACTGAATTCGAATCTTTAAATTTGATAGGCCATGATCCACCGATAATTCTTGAATATGCATCCTTATTATGAATACGAATATACTGTTATCATTTAGGCGAGATGAAACAGACAATAAAAACACTCACCTGGAAATCATTACCAAGTTGATAAGCACCAATCCCATAATTATAAGTCAACTCAACAACAAAATGATTATCCTCAGGTCCATAACCTATCATGGTTTTGCTCCACTTCCCATCATATGGTCTAAATGAATGATGTAAATCAATATTGATTAAGGTTAATTACCCGTTACATGAAGCCTTACAACCTTCAGTAAATTCTTCATGTCGTAACACCTGTGAAGTGATCAAGAGACAAGTAAATAAGAAACAAATAATGATCAAGTTATGAAAAAATATTTCAGCGATCATACCATGTAGAATAACTTCAACTCTTAGATCATTTACCCACGGATCCAAAATGAAATTAAAGAACTAATAAGACGCGATTTCCAGTCGTCATTCTTTACCGGCTAGACTATAACATCTAATGGTCAAGTATCTAGTTTTTCAGCCAGTTTCGATTAATGACTGTTGTGTCAGGAAAAGAGGGTCGTTTTACTAATTAACAAACTAAATATTATCCTTGTTTTAAATAAAACTATGTATAAATATAGTACTGGGATTATTTTATAGATAACTCTTAAGGCTTCGCAGATCACTTGTCCCGGTAACCATTGTTTGAGAAATCCCGACGGTATATACATTTCAGAAGACAATACGAAGCATCGACTATATTTTATCACTCTACAGCGCATATTCGAAAGCCACAGTCACACAAAGTGAATGCGAATTAGGGGCGGATGAATTGATAAGATTTTAGAAGCACATATATATAGGAAAACGAATAAGTCATCGAGAGATTTAAGCAACTCTAGTGAACGAGAACTTAAGTGGGGACAACCTGATGTATTTTAACACAATATTAAAGAATATTTTGGTAAAACCTGAGAACCATACAGTAAAAACTTATTTGCGAAATACTCATCAATCGTCTCTGAATTGGTTGTTTGTTTGTTTCCATACGAATCATTCCCATTGCACAAACAAGTGGCTATCAAGACTCAGTAGCTGAGTGGATAAGGCGATGGCGTTTGAAGCGAATGGTACTGGGTTCGAGTCCCAGAGTGAATATCAACTCTGAGATGCAGGTACATCCAGCTCACGAGTCCCAAATAGGACGAAACGGGCGTCCTAGATTCCCTTGCTAGCCACTATCCATTGTAGTGTCTGTCATTATGTTAAACCCAAATACCTCATTATTCTAACTTCCGGACAGCCCATTCTATTCATTCTATTGGAGTCACATTCTGACCTTGTTAATTATTCGCTTATCAATGTCTTGACTGTCTTTATATGAGCGCGTAGGTGTATGCACACTTCTCATCCCATTACTCATCACATGTCTGTAATTTATTTTTGTGGGCTTATAAATATTGATTAACTCTTTGTTAAAGGAGAGTTGGCTTACCAGCCATCTCCACCGCTCGTCAATTTCGCTTCGCTTTCTTCTCTTCGCGTCGTTCTCCCGTTCGTTTGTCTAATCAACAATTATACGAAATATATGCATTCAAAACTCCGTTCTCGTTATTTCACTTATTTAATGCCGTTATTAACTAACGCGATTTAAGTCAATGATTATATACGAGGATAGACGATAGCAACCAATCATTATGATCACATTGGAGTCAGATCACGGGCCACTAAAATGGTGATCCCGTCACCACAAGCAAACACAACAGGCTACCAAACCATCATTGCTTACTACAAAAATCTCTCAACCTTCTGCCGTCAGGCCTTTCACTTTCGATCAGTGATATATAATACTTATATCAGTCGACATTAATAGCACATAAGGCACAACCAACACTTAGACTAGCAAGAAGGATGTGGGCAGACTGTAACACGTGATCAAACTAATAATAAGCGTGTGAATATAGGGAAATATATTTCCTAGTTGGCATCGTATTGGCTTAGACGCTCAAATTCTGATCCCTGAGCGCGTTTCATAATCACTTCAGCGTGGAAGGCCTTTAACCACAAAATAGTTACATAAATTTGAGTCACATTTTATTAGCTACTTTGACAAGAGCAGCCATGTAGTTACAATCAACCGTTATTTTTCATTCTTTTATTTTGGTATAAACATTTTACTAGATTTATTATCTTTAAGAGTAAATATTTAATCGAATCAACATAGTTAGTATATATTATGGTCATACAATTCCAATCTATTTGTTATTCACTAGTGATCAAAAGATATGCTATTCAATTTTATGCAGCATTTAAACAAATACGGATTATATGAATACTATATTTATCAATTATAAATATTAGATGGTGGTTGGAGGTAGTCGACAGGAAACCCCGTACCTGGGTTTCGTGCTACTTGACACTCAACAGTAAGGTGTACCTGTAATCTTGAGAGAACTGATGCTTCCTGATGGATTCGATCCCGTGTCATCCAGATTCACAGTCAGAGACGTTACCACTGATCTATTCAGGCCGAAACCGACCTCCTGTAGGACTGAGATGTAATCACAATTGATTGATCACTGGGTGGTGATCAATGTCATGCGTGTCAAGTCCTTCTTAGTGCAGATCGAATGTTATCGACCATCATTACATCAAATACTGTTTGATCAGTAGTATTGTCTTTTTAATCTCTAAGATGTGTTTATTGAACAGTGAAAGAATTATAGGAAGCATAATCTAATCTCAATATAATGCACGCAGTGTCGAGTCACCTAGACTGGTGGCTACATTGCAACTTGGTCGATAGTATTTGATCTGTACTAGTAAGGACTTGACACACATAACATTGATCACCACCCAGTGATCAATCAATTGCAATTATAAATACATCAACCTTAATTCTAATCAAAAGTTATTTTTAATTCTTCTCTAATGAAGAACATATTTGCCAAAACGTTTTCGAGTGTATGAAAAACAAAAAAGCTTCACTGAATGAAGTACGGCATGTCATCAAACCCTAATGCTTAGAAGTTAAGCAATATATAGATTAATAGAGCTCGAACCAAAAACAAGCGAACCTAACTGAAACATAGCCAAATTTAATAATCGTTTAATTTATTGGTATATTTTAGTTTGAGCGCTCCTAGTAAACTTTGAAAACAACCCTTTACTAGGCATCATTGCACGTTAACAAATACAATAATTACATATAACTCCTATCCTAAACAAGCTAGTCAACAACAAATTACAGTCTTATCTACTGAATAATCATCTTTATTTTATACATTATATGTAACTTCCATATTACTTATTTTATGGTTTACATTAAATGACAGGAAAATCACAAATAATTTTAAAAATAAATTTTGTTGATATGATAAATTTCAGTCTAATAGCGTGAATTTTACACAACTATAGAAAAACTAATTTTACTACTAATTAAAATGTTACAAACTTCATAGGAAAACATATTGTGCATCCATTATGAGATTAATAGTTTCAATAGTTGAACTATATTAGAAGAAACTGGGCAAGTTTCAGTAGGTGATTGATTCTTTTTACTAATTGCAAAGTATAAGATAATAAGCTTGTTGATCATTATATTTATGTATCTTCTATGGAACGTCTTACTTTCATTCAATTTCTATTACATAGATAATAACATAATAATGTTGAAAAAAAAAAACTGAACAGTGATATTAGTGTAGTGTGCGCTACTTATATTGATATAAGTAGTATATGACGCGAGTTAGGAACGTAATATCTGGCAGCAAAACATGGGGGAAGATTAAGAAACGAAGAGCGGGAATACAATGGAATCTGTATGAAAAGGCATGAACAATGAAATCTGAGACAATAAATTGATGTTTGCAACAGGAACAGTCCAGTTTGATATGATGAATTGATATTTTGTAAATTAACGATTCAACTCCTCCTGGAGCCCCTTTCCGGGGGCTACTGCCGGTCCCAAGCCCGGATAAAGGAGGAGGGTTGGGCATGGGGTTAGCGACCCCATCCCGTAGAAAACTAACTCGCTAAAAAAACGCTAACCAGAAAAAATTATTCAAACTATTTAAACTCTGCCCTGGGAGTCAGGAAGTCTTCGTTTAGAAGAATTATGACGCCTCACGATGAAAGCCGAGTTTCTTCGGAAGTCACGAGGCCGATGCCCCTTCTGACAACCAGAGCAACCATTAATTTAGGTACATGGAATGCTCGCACAATGTGGGAGACTGGGAGAGTTTTCCAAATTGCTGCAGAAATGAGGAGATACAATTTAGAGGTGGTTGGGATCAGTGAAAAACACATTGGACGCAAGTTGGACAACAACGACTAGCTTCAGGGGAGCTGCTGTTATACTCCGGACATGAACAAGAAAATGCTCCACATACACAAGGAGTTGCATTGATGCTGTCCAAACAAGCACAAAATGCACTTATAGGATGGGAATCTCATGGACCAAGGATCATCAAAGCCTCCTTCAAAACAAAGAAAACGGGGATTACAATGAACGTCATCCAATGCTACGCGTCTACCAATGACTACAATGAAGACGCTAAAGATCAATTCTACGATAGGCTGCAGTCAATCGTCGAGAAGTGCCCAACAAAAGACCTGACTATTCTAATGGGAGACCTAAATGCCAAGGTTGGAACTGACAACACCGGATATGAAGAGATCATGGGACGACACGGACTCGGAGAAAGGAACGAAAATGGTGAGAGATTTGCAAATCTATGTGCCTTCAATAAACTGGTCATAGGCGGGACTATATTCCCACATAAACACATACACAAAACCACATGGACTTCACCGGATCACACCACACAGAACCAAATCGACCATATCTGCATCAACAAAAAGTTCAGGAGGACGATGGAGGACGTGAGAACAAAGAGAGGAGCTGATATAGCATCAGATCATCACTTGCTGGTCGCCAAGATGAAATTGAAACTCAAGAGGCACTGGACAACGGGGCGGACAATATCACAAAAATTTAATACGGCTCTTCTTCGGGATACTGACAAACTCAATAAATTCAAGATAACCCTCAGCAATAAGTTCCAAGCCTTTCATGATCTACTCAATGGAGAAGGAACTACTATGGAGAGCGACTGGAAAGAGATAAAAGAAGCAATCACTTCAACATGTCATGAGGTTCTGGGCCAAAAGAAGCACCATCACAAGGATTGGATCACGGTCGATACACTGGATAAGATTCAAGAAAGGAGGAACAAGAAAGCAGCAATCAATACCAGTCGAACAAGAGCAGAAAAAGTCAAGGCACAGGCTGAATACACAGAAGTAAACAAGCAAGTGAAAAGGAGCATCAGAACTGACAAACGTAAATATGTGGAGGATTTGGCAATGACGGCGGAAAAGGCTGCCAGAGAAGGAAACATGAGACAACTGTATGAAACAACAAAGAAACTCTCTGGAAATCACCGTAAACCAGAACGACCAGTGAAAAGCAAGGAAGGCAAGATAATCACCAACATTGAAGAACAACGAAACAGGTGGGTAGAACACTTCAAAGAACTCTTGAATCGACCAGCCCCACTGAACCCACCCAACATCGAAGCAGCACTCACGGACCTCCCAATTGATGTTGGCGCACCAACAATTGAAGAAATCAGCATGGTTATCAGACAAATCAAGAGTGGCAAAGCAGCAGGACTAGACAGCATTCCAGCAGAGGCACTGAAAGCAGACGTAGCGGCAACTGCAAGGATACTCCAAACTCTCTTCAGAAAGATCTGGGATGAGGAACAGGTACCAAAAGACTGGAAAGAAGGACTTCTAGTCAAAATACCAAAGAAAGGCGATCTCAGCAACTGTGACAACTACAGGGGAATCACTCTTCTTTCAATGCCAGGAAAAGTCTTCAACAGGGTATTGTTAAACAGGATGAAGGACTCCGTAGACGCCCAACTTCGAAACCAACAGGCAGGATTCCGTAAGGATAGATCGTGCACAGATCAAATCACAACTCTACAGATCATTGTGGGACAATCAATTGAATGGAATTCATCACTCTATATCAACTTCATCGACTACGAAAAAGCATTTGATAGCGTGGACAGAACAACCCTATGGAAGCTTCTTCGACACTACGGCGTGCCTCAGAAGATAGTCAATATCATACAGAATTCCTATGATGGATTAAACTGCAAAATCGTGCATGGAGGACAGTTGACAAAGTCGTTCGAAGTAAAGACCGGTGTCAGGCAAGGTTGTTTACTGTCACCCTTTCTCTTTCTCCTGGTGATCGACTGGATCATGAAGATATCAATATCTGAAGGGAAGCACGGGATACAGTGGATAGCTAGGATGCAATTGGATGATCTAGACTTTGCAGATGATCTGGCTCTTCTATCGCATACACAACAACAAATGCAGTAGAAGACAACCAGTGTAGCTGCAGCCTCAGCAGCAATAGGTCTCAATATACACAAAGGGAAAAGCAAGATTCTTCGATACAACACAACATGTACCAATCCAATCACAATTGACGGAGAAGCTTTGGAAGATGTAAAATCCTTTACATATTTGGGCAGTATCATCGATGAACACGGTGGATCTGATGCAGATGTGAAGGCACGGATTGGCAAAGCAAGAGCAGCATATCTACAACTGAAGAATATCTGGAACTCAAAACAATTAGCAACCAACACCAAAGTCAGAATTTTCAATACAAATGTCAAGACAGTTCTACTGTATGGCGCGGAAACCTGGAAAACTACGAAATCCATCGTCCAAAAGATACAGGTGTTTATTAACAGTTGTCTACGCAAAATACTTCAGATCCGCTGGCCGGACACTATAAGCAACAACCTACTATGGGAGAGAACAAATCAGATCTCAGTGGAGGAAGAAATCAGGAAGAAGCGCTGGAAGTGGATAGGACACACATTGAGGAAAACACCGAACTGCGTCACAAGACAAGCCCTCATATGGAATCCTCAAGGTCGAAGGAGGAGAGGAAGGCCAAAGAATACATTACGCCGGGAAATGGAGATAGATATGAGAAAAATGAACAAGAATTGGATGGAACTAGAAGAGAAGGCCCAGGACAGAGTGGGTTGGAGAATGCTGGTCGGCGGCCTATGCTCCACTGGGAGTAACAGGCGTAAGTAAATAAGTAAGTAAATTAACCATTCACTATATATGGTTCTCAGATTTTATTGAGATGCTCTGTTCCCCACCCGTGTTCTGTTCACTACATTAGCACTATACAAAATATCATCTCTATAGCTTCAATGTAGAATTAATTTAAAAATAGTAGTATTTATGATGGAAAACTTTTTTAGTAGCCTGTTGTGTTCGCTTGTGGTGGCGGGATCACCATTTTTGTGGCCCGTGATCTGACTCCAATTTGGTCGTAATGATTGGTTGCTATCGTCTATCCTCGTATATGATCATTGACTTAAATCGCGTTAGTTAATAACGGAATTAAATAAGTGAAATAACGAGAATGGAGTTTTGAATGCATATATTTTGTATAATTGTTGATTAGACAGAACGAACGGAGAAACGATGCGAAGATTAGAAAGCGAAGCAAAATTGACGAGCGGTGGAGATGGCTGGTAAGCCAACTCTCTCTTTAACAAAGAGTTAATCAATATTTATAAGCCCACAAAAATAAATTACAGACATGTGATGAGTAATGGGATGAGAAGTGTGCATACACCTACGCGCTCATATAAAGACAGTCAAGACATTGATAAGCGAATAATTAACAAGGTCAGAATGTGACTCAAATAGAATGAATAGAATGAGCTGTCCGAAAGTTAGAATAATGAGGTATTTGGGCTTAACATAATGACAGACACTATACTTGACAATATTACCCATCATCTAGTTAATATGAATCTATAGAAATTTCCTCATTCAGAATAACTTAAATATTTCTAACCTAAGGTATAGTAAATACATGGCCGTAGTTGTTATATCCTAGTGAAGATTACATTACGAGTAACTTCTGAGATTTATTAATGGACAAATATCATGTATATATATTCTTATGATATAAATATTCAGTAACTAGATGATGTATATCTATATTCCCCTTGTTATAAACTTTATTTTGACTTATAATTTATTATTATACGATTTACTGTTCTTAAGTTATGTTCAGTTTATTGACTACTGCCTTCCACGTTCACAGCCAACTTTTGACTTTATTATGTGTACAAATGTACTTTCCTATTTTATGGTGCGTTGCGGTCTGTTTGGTTGATATATATATATATATATATATATATATATATATATATATATATATATATATATATACACCCAGTATGTCTGAAATAAATGATTTGATTCGATTCGTATAGTAGAAGCTGGTATTCATGTTCTGGACTCAAGTGGACGGACTAGATGAATATAGCACCAACTGGTCGAATGTTATTGGTTTGGCACAGTGCTAAGATAGTATAAATCGTAAATTTGATTGGTGGATAAATCACGTAATAAAGTCATAACAGAAGTGATCAAGATCTATTGAATAATTGTTTGAGTTAACAAAATCAAAATGGTTAGAAAAACATTGATATATTTATCGAATATTTTAAGCACTTGTGTGTTGTATTGATTTAAAGTGTAGTCAAGTGAACTTGTGGACTATTTAAGAAAAAAAATTGTATTATTCAATTAAACATCAATAAAATAATGTAAAACCAGTTAAAGTTTACACCATTGTTACTTACATTGATACAAACTTGTTTTTTATCAAAAGTACACACAATAACATACCTTCATTCCAAGAATTCGTTTGTAAAAATCAATTGTTTCATTACGATTAGCCACTTTGAAAACAAAATGTAAAGCTCTTGTACGATTCATAGAAGATAACAATTTGAAGTCAATCAAAATATCTAATTCTTTGAACTGCAATTCACTGAATATCAAAAATTATTTGGAATAAAAGTCAAAGTTTACAGAGTCTAAAATTAGGGACAAATAATGGTTATGATTTATATTTTGAATGAAATTTAGTAGTATTAGTAGTAGTAGTAGTAGTAGTAGTAGTAGTAGTAGTACATGATGTAAAACGAGTATAAACAGGAAATAAAAATATACACCAACAAATAAATATAAACAACGTTAAGCCTAGCACGAAGATTTGACGGTCCTACTTCACAAGCTTTGGAAACAAAATGATAAGAAAAGTAAATGTTTAATATGGACCAAGAACAGAGGGAAACGCACTGCCTGGATTCCACTGCTAGCCACATTCTATCTTTTCTGTGTAAATGAGTACAAAAATCAGGAGAAACGAATGGAATCAGAGAATAAAATTTATTAAACAATACCGTATTTAAAACTTCAGTAAAGGCAATCAATGACCAGATCTCCTTCACTGAAATTAACTTCATCAATATTACCAATTCTATGGTTGTATATTACAGCTGTATTGAGGACCCTCTTGATACGGCTTATAACAACAGTTAGTAAAACTATAAACGAAGTCTATGACCTGTCCCAGTTCCCTTCACTTTTCTAGTTTACTTCTATATTATTCAACATAGCCTAGGTTGACGAATTTTTAGACTACCTAGTTTGACGAGTATCAGTCAGCTATCACAAACTTATGAGCTGAGACAATTTTGGATCCGCCTACTTTGCTCTACCTTATATTAGAACATTGAAAGAAAATCAACAAAATGACAGAGAGAGAATGGCAGACAACACCAAAAAGTAATGAAACTTTTGGTAAGAAAAAAATGACTTAAAAATAAAAATATGATCAAAGAATGGAACTTTGGGAATTTTCCATAACTCCAGAGTTGGATGATAGACAATGGATATAACTACATCATTGAGAGGTTTGGCGTCATATTGCTCAAAGTCTTCAACCATTAACTACGAGTATTATGTGGGTTCCAAGCTCCTACGTAAACAAAAATTAATAAACGCCTTACTACTCTTACCTAGAACTCTACATCTAAGGCCAAAATCCCCGACATATTGGTTCACCTGTTATGACTTATGGTAGACTACTGATATCATGTGACAAAGCCACCAATCAGAGTCTAGTTTCTATGATTTAGTGCCCCTGTGTTAACCAATTACACGTCCAACAAGTATTAGTAACCTTAGGTCGACTGCCAAGACTTTACTGATCCACGATTCCATAGCTTCTCTTTCTACCCTGCAGTTTGAGTCCAGGAGTCAGCAATCAGCCTCCACTAATATTATATTTCAAGCAAGCCTAGTGTATATGCAGGCATGCTGGACCACATAACAATAAAATGGAAAATAAAAATTATGCGCGATCAAGCTAAGGAGCAACTGTGAGTAGGGGCGACGGCAAATAACAAACTGGTAATAGATGAGGAATGGTAAATCGTATAACAGTGGGCAATTGGTAAATTGAAAGCTTGTGACAAAATGAGTGTATATATATATATATATATATATATATATATATATATATATATATATTAGCTATTTTAGAAAGTGTAATTAATCCCATCTGACAGATTTTTATCGCTGTTTGTTCCGGTCTATAAGAAACAACTAAAATTTTCCTGCGATAACCACGAAGGAGTCGACTAACCAAACTGTTCAAAATACTGACTTCTATAATTATCAGAGACTGACGAAGACTTATGAAAATCAAACTCGGGAAGAGCAGGTTAGTTTCAGTCTTAAATGTGAAAGCATCGACTAAAAATTTGTTCTTTATCAGGTAATAGAACATAAACATACTAATCTCCGTCTATGACTGCATTTCTTGACACTAAGGCGGGATTCAACTACAAAGACCAAGAGGTTCTCTGACAGTATTTGTCACTGAAAAGCACACCAAAGCAGCACACAAACGTTATTTAGGCTCCCTACTCAGACACAATTTATCGATTCTGAGCTCATGGCTCACCGTCACCAAAATTTTCAACAACAAATGGTGTTCATAAAGATTTCTCACTTTCTCCCTTGAAATTCGGTCATAGACATCTCCTTATAAACGACACGGCCCGGTGAGTTATCTACTTTGCATATCTTGGAAGTTGTATAAGTATTGCTGTTTTGGTACGCGACAAAATCCAGACAGATTTATAAAGCCCAATTGTTGCCTGTTACCCTCCGCTGCCTATGAAATAGACAAGGTATCTGTCTTTTAACCACAACGCATGTAAACTGTGCGAAATTCAGCTCAATTTTACATTACATTTGCAAACCATGGTCTCTGGAAGTATAAGACATACACATGTTGTAGTTATTTGATCAAAGGTCCCTTCGGAGCACTGTTCCTGTCTTGTGAAACAACTGAGACTGACACAAGACGAAGGTGGAAAATTGGTTAATAAGTTCATAAATCTTCATCGAGTGAGATGTTTATGATGTATGCTACTCATCGCTAACCATGACCTACCTGGACGTGAAACGTTTGATGGTATAAGAATAGGTTAGAAAAAAGTTAGAGGTGGCCAAACCGAAACGTGGTATCGGTCTATGAGAATATCGATGGTTTGTCTGAAATACGTAAGAAGGTGACAAATATTTGGTTAGGCTCCGCCTAACAACCCCGATAAATGGTTGAAGATTTCATATAACATGACTTAATGTCTTCTCAAACTTGAATTCCAGTATTCCTTCACAAATATCTTTCTACTTTATACTTTTGAACCATATTTCGAACGCTTTGTTTTTCCATTGTAGTTCCTACTAAATTGTTTTGATCAGTTTTTCCCTCTATTTTTTTTACTTTTGTATCATCATTCTAGCATGTTATGGCAACTGGTCAAACCACATCTATATCAGGCTCTGAATTGACGACAACTAGCACCCTTATAGTTGAATAAATAATGCAATAAACATTCTAATATAAACCGCCGTGACGTCAAAAATCACATCAACATACATGAATAAATAGTTATTGAGAAGGAAAAGGGATAAACATTATTACTTTGACAGCATAAAAGTAAGTGTTAAATATAGTATCGTATACATTATTTCCAGTCAGAAGTTAATGAATGTTAACGAATAAATAACGTGAATCAACTTTAAAGAAACGTTACTCTGAGATTCTAAGAACTAGTCCGAAGACATATTCGGTTTACTAAGTTACGTAATTTTATAGCATAAAATATTTATTCTCTGGGAAACTTGGCACGAAAACATATGTAAAAAGACCATAGCTAGATGTCGTACCATTTTCGAAAGACAGTTGGCATATGTTAGCCTTACTTGCTCAAGACGATTTTTTAATACATTAAACAAAGGATAGGCGTATTCATGGTATTCTTACACTACAGTTGCACGAAAATTCAGATATATCAGCTAAATCAGATCTGGCCAAAGCTGAGACCTTCGCAAACTATTTCATAGAAGTCTACACTAATATTATTGTTAACAATACTTGTTATAACAAAAGCACAGAGATACCAGCCATAGAACCTGTGCTACAGTTAGTCTTATATTTAAAGATGGTCAGTGACAGATCGTATCTAACTACCGAGCTGTCAGTCTGACCAGCATAGTAGTTAACATGGCCACGCGTATATAGCCTCTGCCAGGGAAGTCCTACTCACTGCCTTCTCGCAACAAGGGTGTAGTTTACGAAAATGAGAGGACGAAAAGCGAATGTCCGACACTTTAACCGGATCCCAAACCAATGGTGCACATGGGCTGGCTCCAGTATCCTGAAGGAACAAATGGCGTATGAACCAATCGTTGGTCACCGGCTACCATAGGACTGCATCTCCTTACGATGCTCCACTGCCTTGTGGGTCAGACGTTCAAGTCGAAGACTCCGGGTGTGACCTCCTAAGAAAACCACCTGCTTCGGTTTGGACACCCGGACAGTATCACAGCCCTCACACATATCAATTGAAATCTGTGTGGCGCATATGTATTTGGTGCCTCCTTGTACCAATATCTTTGTGTTAAAATAAATAAATAAATAAATAAATAAATAAATAAATAATATACTTAAAAAGGCAATTCCAGTTAAGTTATTAGGTCACATAGAACCATTCAATCTGTTGACTACCGGGCAACACGGGTTTCAAAACAAGCATTCACGCCTAACCAATTTAAATATTGCGAGCGAGATTTGGACATAAGCCCTAGCTAATTCCCTGTCTGTTGATATGACATTCACCTCTACGTCAATGAATTACTCCCGATCGCTTAGTTCGTCGAAATTGTTGTTTGAGGATGATGTCAAAATCTGGAAGACAATTAAGAATAAGGCTGGTTATTTTTCTCCCCAAGCTAACCTAGACTTAGTTAGGTGGTCCAAATGGTAGGGCCTAAAAACCAATTGAAGAAAGAGTGTGCTCATGCGCATTGGACACGAAAGTAGTAACCAGTATATTATCGACGTTACATCTCTTCCATGCGTGTAGGATCACAAAGACTTAGGGGCAATAGTAAGTCATGACTTGTAAACAACTATACGTCGCAATGCAGCAGCTGCCAAAGGTTTTAGTGCGTTGTGGGATCAAAATTGTGGAGGGATCTCTCCGCAGATTAGGGTCCCGTTTTTCTCATTGTGTGGTCAATGACTCAAACGCCTTACCCAAACAAATGGTATCAGCCCCATCAGTGAACGTCTTGAAGGAAAGGCTGAAACCTCATTAAAAGACAAACTGTAAGCATCAGCACAGATCTACTCACCTAATAAACCTATTGCTGAAGACGGAAAGCAGAACCGGACCAAAGCCAATAACCGCTATACGGAAATTGAAACAGAAGTGAAACATGACCTATGAGACTGAAAAAACCACGTTTCTGCAGATTCCGTAAAATATTTCGTCTTAACTTCCCGAGCAATACAGTGTTCGTACGTCCTAAACTTGGGTACTGCATACAAGCGGCTAGCCCCCGTCTAAAAAAGACAGCGGGCTTTTGGAAAAGGTTCAGAGAACAGCAACTAAGCTGATTCCCGGAATAGCGAGGCCTCCGTATAATGTTCGACTGGCCAAGCTAAACCTATTCCCGTTGTCATATAGTAGAACTAGAGGCGACTTGATTACAGTTTTCAAATTGTTTAATGATAAATTTGCACCTGATATGCCCTCATTTTTCCTGTCTTCCAAAACAGAGGATTTACGAGGACACTCCAAAAAAGTTCACAAGCCCAGAACAAATTACTTGTCAGCTGATTATCGACTTTTCCACCGAATCATCAACGAGTAGAATTCATTACCTCAACACGTAGTTGAAGCTCCATCCGTAGATTCTTTCAAAAGAAAGTTGGATCAACTGAGAGAACACCATTGCCACGACTAACATAGGCCATTAAGCCTCCTGTTCTTTCCAAACTGAAACTGAAAAACTCGAAGATTGGGGGTTTATAAAGAAATACCCATAACTATGGTACTTTTTCCCAAATTAAGAACTAGCCGTAAATGCGGACGTTAACACTCACACTCTTTGTCGGTCGTGAAGCTATTTGTTATGAATGAAATATATCAATTTCCATTCAAACAAAAGGCATCTGATAACACGTGTTATAAGCATGTGACCTCAAAAGCCTGTCACTAACTACATAAAAACAAGCGCAAGATATCAAGTTTACTTCTTTCGTCCTAATTTCGAATATTTTCATCATGTATAGGAAAATGATTCCTCCCTTTTTATTTGTATCTAGATTGTAGGTTATGCTTGTCAGACACAAAAAAAGTACATGGATATGACGTAACACTACGGTAAACAAAAACAAGAATGTTTGGTGAGAAGCCAGTGGATGTAGTAAATTAAGCGACTAACCAGTTACCTCACAAGCAGTAACCACTTTCCGCGCAGACTGTTGTCCTTGAGTGACGCTAAAAAAGTACCTTCAAACATTCAATCCTCAATAAATAGAACAAAAAGTCAAGTTATCAATTCTCATGTATAAGGATAGTATGTTGATTGATCTTTATTGATTCTTTAACCTTAATTACTAATGAAGATTACGCTTATCTTTGAAATTGTTCACTGATGGGGTTGGTAATAGGTTCGCGTAAAGTTTTCGAGACCTTGACCACACAATGAGAAAATTGAAATCCATATTCAGTTAATTCGACTACAGTTTTGGGATCTACTTCCTGTGGCTTCGGAGGTGATTAGCACTGGATGGAGCAAAAAGATCGCAAATGCTAACACCCAGTAATTATTTAGAATATGGAATTGCGATCTATGGTCAAGTTGTTTCAAATGGTATCTTGTGCTTAAGGGACTTCTGTGTCCAGTAGCAGTGGATCACCGAAGTTCATTTAGCGGTGAAAAAATAAAAAATATATGCGATTTTTAGCGAAATATTGTCTTTAGTCCTTACGAATATGTCAAGTATTTTCTTCAAGGACTCCAGAGAAGTCAACTGAACTAGTTCATCCGACAACTAAATCCAGAATTTGATTACTCTTAAGGAGGTGTGCCTAAAGCCTGTTCTACCGTATTGTTTCCCTAGCTCCTGAGTGTTACCCCGAAGGTTTGTGTAGAGACTGAACTTACTAACGCCTGTTACTCCTCGTGAAGGAACATAGGCCGCTCACCAGCATTCTCCATCAAACCCTGTCCTAGACAATCCTTTCCAGCTCTTTCCAGTTGCTATTCATCTGATTCTATTTACAGACGTAGTGTGTTCTTTGACCTTCCTCTTTTCCGCTTTCCTTCAGGATTCCAAACTAGGGCTTACCTCGTGATGCAGTTTGATGATTTCCTCAATGTATGTCCTAATCATTTCCATCGTCTCTTCCTAATTTCCTCTTCAGCTGGAAGCTGGTTGGATGTTGAGTATCTTGCGTAGACAGCTATTTATAAATACTTGTACCTTCTTGAAGATAGTTGTTGTAGTTCTCCAAGTTTCAGCTCCGTACAGTAGAACTGCCTTGACGTTCGTATTGGAGATATTGATTGATATTAGTTGACAGTTGTTTTTAGTTCCATGTGTTCTTCAATTGAAGGAACGCTGCACTTGCTTTGCCAACACTCGACTTTACGTCTGCATCTGAACCTCCTTGTTTATCGACGATGCTTCCCAGGTATGTGAAGGATTCCACGTCTTCCAGAGTTTCGCCATCAAGAGTGATTGGATTGCTGTTCTCCGTGTTGTATTTGAGGACCTTGGTTTTCCCTTTGTGTATTTTAAGGCCTACTGATTCAGAGACTGCTGCTATGCTGATTGTGTTTATCTGCATTTGTTCGTGTGTATGCTATAGGAGGGCTAGGTTCAACTTGTCTAATTGGTTTTGAGCTGTCCATTGTGTGAGGTGTTTTCCCTCACATGTTGTGATCATAATCCAGTCGACCACCAGAAGAAAGAGGCAGGGAGAGAGTAATCAGCCTAGTCTGACTCCGGTCCTTACTTGGAATGCGTCTGTCAGCTGTCCTCCATGCACTACTTTGCACTGTAGTCCGTCGTATGAGTTCCAGATAATATTGACAATCTTCTCAGGAACTCCGTAGTGTCGAAGAAGTTTCCATAACGTTCTCCTATCTACACTGTCAAATGCCTTCTCATAATCAATGAAGTTGATGTACAGTGACGAGTTCCACTCAATTGATTGTTCGACGATGATCCGTAGTGTCGTAATTTGGTCTGTGCACGACCGATCCTTACGGAATCCAGCTTGTTGATCTCGAAGTTGAGCGTCTACTGTGTCTTTCATCCTGTTCAGTAACACTCTGTTAAAGACTTTCCCTGGTATTTACAGTAATGTAATGCCTCTGTAGTTTTCACACTTGCTCAGATCTCCTTTC